GTGGAGTTTCATCACGTTCTTGTAGATACCTCTCCAGTACAATCCGAGCCATTAGTGAGGGTGCATACTCCACCTTTACAAAAGTAGAAGTAAAAAATTAAAAACTGTCAACTTGTTCAAGCAGTTGATATTGCAATATTTTGTCAACACTGAAGATTTATTTAGTCAATTCTAATCAACCACTGCAAGCATCATTCATTAAAATCTTTCCTATTCTTGGTGGCTTCCATTGTAATAAAATGATAATAAGTATGATCTGTGCCGCTGAAAAGAATAAATAGGTCAAATTTACCAAACATAACATAGAACAAAGAGTACCCTCTTTGAGCCTGGAAATAGTATTATCTAAAACAGAAATAGGCTTGTTTCATGTCTCAGTTTTTTTGGTTAGTAACAAATTTGATTTTTATTCTAGCCATTGCCTTTTATATTTCTCTATATTTAATTATGTTGAATAATGTAAAAAAAAGTCCTTTTGTTATTTAGTGACACTTCAGAAACTGAATCTTGTCTATTTATAGTCATTAAAAACACAGATTTTATTGTTTTTCTATTAAAGATAACTGAAATTTTGGTATGAACACCTTACTTACAAAATATGTTGTTTGATAACACTGTATCTCTCTATATTATAGAGACACTGATAATAAGATATAAGAATAATAATATCTGAAATATAAGAGCACCATCCTTAGGCTATGCTTATTGGAAATGCTGCTTATGAATTTATTTAATACAGAACCCAGGGAGGTAACTATTTCAAAAATAAAGAATGTAATACAACACAAGAATATTCAACCCAATAATCATTTTAAATTAATAAAAAGCATCTATTCATTATAAAGACATTGTCTTCTTTTTGTTTCTTATATTTTTATTGGTCATTGATTTAATTTCCCCAGAAAATAGGTACAGTTCTTAAAAGAAATACTGTTTCCCTAAAAGAAGTCTTTATCTTAGGTGTAAGACAAGAAATGCTCCTCATATATTATCACTATGAATTTTTCTTGACAGGTTTTCAAGTCCCGTATTCATACCAAAATTTTATCTTGATTTAGTAACTAGACAAAAGGGCTAGCTTCATTTGTATGAACAGTTTTCTTCAAATATGTATGTACTTGGATGCCCTTAAATTCTCCAAGTAGAAAGAAATGCTTTCCACGAAGCTGCTTATTCCTAGTAACCCACATCAGAGCTGACACATGAAAAATGGTGAAATTACTGAAGGTAGTCCAGCCTGAATAAGGACTACCTTATTAGTTCAGGTACTTGCATCTCCCTAATTTTCATATTAATCATGTGTCCATCTTTCTCTGAAATAGGGCCATCATGCTTCATGTCAGAATTTAGCATGTAAGTAAAATTCATAGTGCTTTAAATCTAACTTGAAAATATTTGTGTGAATAGAATGACTGATCTTATCACTAACAAACTGAGATTTTCTAAAATGTTCATTTTTAGCCTTGGAATAGGATAAGTAACATTAAGAGATTTATAAAATCAATGATGGCCACCTAAACCCTCAAACCCCCAAGTCAACAATAATATAGTGCTTCTAAGAGATCTATAATGTACCGTTATATATTTCTCATCAATTTTTACAGTTTCCACTGATTAAATATACACTGACTCATAAAGTATTACCGCCACATCAGTTGTCACCATATGCAAATGTATGTCATTTAAGTATTAACTGTTACATAAAAATGGCAGCTGGGTTGTTTAGAAATCCTAGTTTGGTACTACCATTCCTGCGTTTCCCTAGAGCATTAGCAACCTCATAGAAAATGCTATTCTCTCATAAATCAGCAACAAAAGAGAAGTCTGCATAACTGTTTATTTAGCTAAATATTTTTGCAGAGCCATGGCAAATAACAAATTTACTAATGTAGAAAAAATTTGTTTGTGAGTTAAATTTCCCCATATTACCAGAAAGTGGAAGTGGGGTCAGATAAGTTAGTTAAGCTCAACAGAACTATCTATTACAAATTCAAATGAATATAAATTGCTACTATATAAAACATATAATTGACATCATTATTTATAAAAATAAATATCAGGTTTGCATCATCTTTCTAGATGCTGTGTCTCAAAGGCTATTATGTCACTCATTTTTTTATAAAGGGCAACCAAATCATGAACTACCTAGTATATAGCTCAGAGATTTCAAGTTACTCAAAGTATCAACTTGTAACAAACATCATCTGGAGACATTAAAAACTGCCCTAATCTAGAAATAGGGAAGAAAAAAAACACCCTAAAACAAAACAATTCATGTTCTGCTTAGAGAAGAGAAACCTTCTATACATTAACTATTGTATCGCAATGTGTAGACACTGCCTAGACTACTAAGACCTTCTGGAATCTGATAGGTAATTGCTCATTTGCTGAGTACAGCAGTGTGCAGCAGACAGAAGCCGTGAGGGAAGTCATCTTTCCTTGCTAATACAACATGTAGAACTTGCTGCTACTGCAGCACTTAATGCTTATAGTACAGAGTCATCTTTAATGCAAACACACATTTTCTGCCTTGCTTCTATGTTTTCCATTATAATGCAACATAAAAACAGTGTACATTTCATTCCATCCCTATGAGGTTTGCATAAGCTGGTCCAAGTCAGACTAAATATTGTATTGCTCTTATTACAGTGGATAAATATTTTAGAGTTTAGGAATTAAATATTTTATTTTTCAGTATGCGCTCTGCAACTATTATGAACTTTTCACAGCTTCTTCATTCACGGGAAATCTTTAGGGTTTCCTTTTCTAAATGTAATGCTGTTAGTTATTTCCCCAAACAGAAGCAGATCACAGTTAACAAATAAGTTCAATAAATCACTTTATGCTTAGTGTTAACAAGAATATTATGTTTCTTCTTAGAAAGAGTCTTTTCTACCAGGCATGTATCTTTTATTCTTACAAAAGTTTGCAAACAAAAAATGAATCAAGTAAATGTTACATTTTTAGTATACCATTTCTCTCTTCATTTTTGTAATAGCTTAGATTTATTTTCTTGGCATTTGTCTCTTTACTAGACACAGATATTTCTCACACTGAACTAGACAACGTATCCTAACAAGAGCATGTCCTGAGCTGTTTGGTTTGAATTTTCCACAAAATAAGAAACTAAGAAGCTGTTTATACATTTGCCTTAAAAGAGGTAGACTAATTATGTCAACTAATTTATTAATACATGAAGTTCTTTGTCCAATTATTAAAAGTACAAAGAGACCAGGGAGCAATTTAAATGTCTAATGCACTTCAAAAATTTTAACGTTAATTACAATTCTAAGCAAAGCTTCTTTAGAAAAGTCCCTTAGGTTTTTTGCAAGTTTAGATAAAATCATAATAATAACATTACCTCATTGGCCAGCTCCAGGAGCACTGGGGCAGCTCCATTTTTCACCACTCCATCCAGGTACCTAGACAAGACAAAGCCAAGTGGTACAGCAGTGACAAGAAAAGGCCAGCATAGACTTGTCAGCATCCCCTGTGTGTACAGGTTTCTCCTGGGCAAACGTCACACTCAACTCCTTGTAAAGTGTGCTACTGTCATAGGAAAGTGTCCAAGGGAGAAACATAACAAAAACAACGAACTTTAAAACCAACTGACTACCTGCACTTGGGCAGGTGGTCTGAGCTCATCAGTTTTGCCTGTTTTCACCTTTTAACATGTAACATGAAAAAAGAGGTGGTTTCTAAAGAACAATCCATATGACACTGGTTTGTCTATATCACAGACAACTATCAAGTGGAAAGGAAATGTAATGGCTTTGCCAGTTTGAAAAGCACTTGTGCACCCATTTCATTTCCCACCTTTTTCTTTATCTCTGCTTCATACGGCTGAATGAGACTCTCTTAAGAATGAAGACTGGTTTAATTTATAAATGAGGCATAGTAAGAGATTAACAATAGAACAACTGTAATAACATACTAACATAAAAGCTATGCAAATACGGTCTCTAAAAGTAGCTGCTCGAACTGTACTCACACTTCCTACAATGATGATGGGAGAAAATACAGCGCTGTATAATGAGATGATATGAGGCGAATGACAGAGGCAGAGTGACAAACCATTAGGCTACTACTGACCTTCAAAGGACAGGTCATGTAGAGGACCATCAAGCTAGGATGACGCTGGCTTACCATGCACGAGTTAACCAAAACCACAGAGAGAAAAATCTTGGCTTAAAACTACTTCTGGTCTTGTATGTTTCAAATTCATTCCCAATTGTAAAGCAAAAAGCCTCGTATGGGTTGAAGAATTCTGTTTTATTCAATTTATTATGCATAGTACTGTTCTTGGATTATAGCAGATGATTACATAAGACATACGTATTTTTTAAAATAAATGAGTATACATTGTCCAAAAAAATAGAATCAGGGAAGGATATTTTCTTATAGAATATTGTTTCCACAAGTAAATTAAGGGTATTTGTCTTTTAGTAAAAAAATAAAATCAATAGATGAGGTCTTCCATATAACTACCAGAAGGAGCTAACTAAATTTACATTATTCAAAAGTATACTTACAAAAGAGGTATAATTTTGCTGTAAGTAAGGTAATGTAAAATTGAATTATTTAAGGTAGGGAGAACTTGGGGATCATTATAACTTCATATTAATTCTAACACATCCAATTTACCCATACTGAGACTCTTCCTGAATATATGATTTAGCAAACTAACAGGGAAATAGGACTTCCAGGTGCATTCAGAAGAAAAAACAAAACAAAACAAAACACAGTGAAACACATCAAGTGTGGGCTGCAAACTTTGGGAAGTAATCAGGTGAAAGCCTTCCCACACAGAACAGCTCCTACCAAGAAGCCTGCTCAGGAGCAACTAATCTTGTGTTCATAACCATCAGCGAGCACATGTTGACTTTAGGTGGGAGTATTTAATCCGAAACTGACATTAGGATAACTAAGATTTTCTGTTTAATATTTGAGTGTTCCTCAATGATTTGATTTTTTTTTTTTTTGTACTGGGGATCGAACTCATGACCTCGCATTTGCCAAGCAGGCACTTACACTGCTGAGCTAAACCCCCGGCCCTTCTCAAGGATTATTTGAGGGGTTTTTAAAAATTATTTTTTATTAGTAATGTTTACAATACACCATATAATAACTACGTTTCATGTGGGGATCTGGTATGTATACGTAACACATCAATTCTTGCTTCATCCCCTTCTCCTCACCCTCATCTTTTGATTCCCTTCACATTTAAGAAAGATCTTTCTCTACTTTGGATCACCTACCTTTTATTTATATTTTGGATTTCATGTGACAGAGAAACCATGCAATATTCAAGCTTCCCACAAGTAGATCTGAGAGATATGGATTAGGAATTATTTCAAGCTAAAGAAGCAGCAGAGAACCAAATACCCATTCTCCCCCATCACAGAGATATGCCAGTGGCTGGACAGTTAACGGTAATGGGGAGGAGGGGCAAACACACTATAATGGTACAGGCTGTGGTAAAATTTAAATTTTGATCCGCTGGTCAGGAAGCACTCGCTCTCTATGTCACTCACACTCTGTAAGTTTCTTGGGGAAGGGCTACATGAGCATGCAGCAGATCCCTTGCCACGGGCTGAGCTGTAAGTGAGTTATAAAGATGTTCTCCTGACCACCCACTGTGTCATACTACAGGACTACCTTACTAGCATGAAAATACAACTACACTACTCGTTGCTGCAAATCTAACACCGGGTCCATGATACTTATTTTAAAAGAAAAACTATATCCCTTCGAACAAAGATTCAGCAGCTGCCTGCCTTCCAGGTTCCTTTCTACTTGTTTTCTGTGCTCACACCCAAAAATATCAGAGCTCTGCCACTATCTTCTCGGCATCAAGAATGCTCTCTGCTTCCTAATAAACTAAGAAAGTCTTTCGTTTCTAACTGTACATATTCACATAACTCCTGACACCCCAAATGGGTAACTGATGGAACTCCACTGTGCTCCACACACAGTTATACTGCGTTTGCATTTCTTACTACTATTTTACATATTTAAGTACACAGTGCTGCCTTCCCAATAAATACTCATAGAATAGTTGAAGGCAGGTACTTTGTCATTCACATCTAGTTGCTAGCATAGTGGGTGGGACACAGTGAATCCACAATGAATGGTGCTAATTGAATGATAAAGTGGTACAGATTTTCAGAAACTACTTTTACCATACCCTGTCAATATCATATTTGAACTAACCTTTTCTCCCTGTGGATATCTAAATAAAATTCAACTGACTGAAGTTATTGAAGTTGGTTCCTTAGTCAGTGTGTCCTGGGAGAAGGGATGAGATGAGGATAGGAACCCTAAACTTTGCTATTGATAGAGCTGTAAGTCTGACTATGTACTTGGGCACATAAAGTTGGATGTAGCAATTCAGATGAACCTCAATAAAATAAATTTTATTAAGAATTTTTCCTGCGTGGAAATATAACGACATCAATATAGTATGAAAAATAAAGAAATATTTTCAAAATACACTTAAGCTACCTATAAATATACAGCATGCAGAACTGAAGAAGTTTCTTTAATAATTCAAAAGGCAGACAAAATGTTTTCTACTGCTATCTGCAGCCTATGAAGTTTCAGTTAGCCATAATGCAATCACATTAAGTATGGACACTGAATTCTTAATTAACATCATCTCAATGTTAGCAGGAATGCAGACATAGAAAGTTTCTCATCTGCCAGTAGGAATGTAGCTAGGACATTTCCAGACAGCAATTTAGTAACATATTTTTTTAAATGTTCACATTGTTTGCACCAGTAATTGCACACAGAGAACTAAAAAAATGACTCCAAAGTGTAGGCTCATGTGTCCAGATGTTTACTGCAGGATTATTTACAGCAGCAGAACCCTGCAAACACACAAGTTCAACAGCACAATCACTTAGTACACTTTTATACTTTCACATGATGAAGTAAGGCAACCAATAAAACAAAAGCTTTTTATAAAACACTATTATACATTTTTCTAAGTATAAAATTCGGGATTCCTAACTGCATGTAGAATATGACCTCATTTATATAAAAATGGGTTGAAAAGACTGGAATTAAATTTTACCTAGTAGTCATTCTAGTAGCACAACTATAAGCAATATTCTTTTTTTAAAAAATACTATCACAGAGGTATTTAATTTTCACAATGGGAGATATCATTTTGAAAGAAAAAAATTAAGTTACTAAGATTTTCAAACTGCTTAAACACACTTGATATTACATAATTTGCCTTCATTCTAGTTAGGAGAAAGCAAACAAAAACCTTATTTAAGGCCAATTCACCTTACTAAAAACAGCGACCCATATGTTTTAGCAAGAGGCGAGTGAGTGGGTCCACGCATCTGATCAGTAAGAAGGCTGCTCCCAGAGGAAAGAACAGAGGAGCTGGGAGCAACAATAAGAAATGGGGCTGAGACAGGCTGCTCTCTTTCAAGACCGTCACAATCTACTTCAAGTTTTTCTCTTAAATACTGCAATTCCTCAGAATAACTGAGGGTCATGTTTAAATCAATGTTAGTTAAATTTCTTCAAATGTTAAAAAGACTTCTTAGGAAGAAACCCTGGTAGGATGCCCAAAATGTTTGGGGAGGGGAGAAGTGAGGCAGGGACAGTGCGTGTACCTTTAGTAAATTTACCTATGCAAAACAAGAAGTATCAGCCAGACATGGTGGCGCACTCCTGCAGTCCCAGTACTGAGGAGGCTGAGACAGGACTGTTGCAAGTCTGATACTAGTCTGGGCTATAAAGTGAGATCAAAGCAAACCTGAGCAGCACAGTGAGAACCTGTCTCAAAAAGACAAACAAACAAACAAAAATAGAGTGCTTTATACCATATATAACAGAGGAAATAATTTTTTAAAAATTTAATTTCAATGAGTTCAATCCCCAGTACCATAAAAAAATTAACCTCAATAACTTTCCTGTTCAATATCTACATTTCAATTCTTTAAAAATTACTTTAAAGAAACATGACATAAGCCGTGTGTGGTGGCTCATGCCTGTAATCCCAGCACTCAGGAGGCTGAGGCAGGAGGATCATTGCAAGTTTGAGACCAATCTGGGATACAAAGTGAGCTCAAAGCCAGCCTGAACTGCATAGTAAGACCTTGTCTCAAAAAAATCACACACACTACACCCACCCACACCCACACCCACCCCCACACACACACATACACAAAAGAAATATGACACACGTATTATATCTACATTTATTTCAATCATAAATTTTTGTGCATAAAAATGATTAATTTAAATCAGTGGTGTCACTGTCACCACAGAAAGGCTGACCTATCAATCCTGAGTATAATTTAGAAGCATGTTTCAAACAATTTTCCTTTCCAATAAGCCCTTGAAATATTTAGAGATATAACCATTTCTAATGCAAGCCATTACGTTTAGTGTTACAAATTATTCAATCATATTATAATGACAGTAAAAATTTTAGAATTAAAAATCAGAGCTACTTTAAAGATTTCTTTAGAAAAAGAGGTTGAAAAGTCTTAATAAAGCTGAAATTCAAATATTCTCTTTGGATAATATGTTGTTGATTTGTTACCCAAGTTTTTCATTTTAAGATACAAAACCCATTTTAAAATGTGTCAGTTATAGAACATGTCTCCAAATGTCCTTACTTGATACATGTCTTTTTTTAATTTCTAAAATGGCTAGCTCAATACTTATGATGTAAAACACAACTATATCAAATTCAATCTTATTTTTTCCACTTGCTGATCTAAATAAAAAATAAGTGCAAAGTGGTTTGAAAAGTTCCACATACATATGCAGACACATGCACACAGGAACATATGCGTTTAGATAAGTGCTGGTACTTATTATGAAAGCCCCAAGGAGCCAAGTGAGATTCAATAATAGTGTAACTACATCCCACAGAGTAGTATTCATTCACAAGTGCACACACCCACAAACACACACAAAGAATTACTATGTTCCTTATATCAATACAAGAAAGACTTTGAAAACTCATTAAAAAAATGCACTTAGAAGTTTTAATGAAAGATCCAAAACACAATGTATGGGGATATATATATATATATATATATATATATATATATATATATAAATTTCACAATCTAATTTACACATAATTATTATAATTAATAGGTGCTATGATACCCTCTAGTGGGGCAGGCAGGTCATACCTCTGGTAATAACTTTCAATCGCTTCTGAAGTATGATGTTTGCTATGCGTTCTTTTAATGTGTTTCTGAAACAAAACAAAACAAAAAGAAACTTTACATTGTGTCATGGATTAAATTCAAGAACAAGAAGGACATATTTCTTGATCCCAATGACTAACGTATAGGGCAAACAAAATAATAGCTTGGGGATTTGGGCAGTGCCAGGACTTTTTCCCCTTCTACTCTATGAACCTATGCATTTTAATCTCTGTTGCTGGCTGGGATGTCTTCAGACTGCACCACGAGGTACAGTATATATGTAAAAGCCAATGGGGTCACTGTAATTGAATCTAAATAAGTTTGCTTAAGGCTGCAGAGGGCAAAGAAAAACTTGTTCCCTCTCCCAACCTTTGTATTAATTTTCCTTCAATTCAATTCCTTCTAAGTCCTCTGCACTCTAGTTTTACAATCCAATTGCCATTTTTAACCAGGAAGAACATTGCTTAAAAACAACTTATTTGAAAACTACAAAAAGTAATTCCATAGAGACTTGCCACTTGACTGACACCTGTCATCTCATGATAAATGACTCCATTTTCTGCCTCTCTTGCCTTCTGCCACTCCAGCAATGGTCATTTATCATCATCTCTGTCAGCAATGGAAAATGGCACTGACAGTGCAAGTCAGCAAACATTTAGCACATGGAACCACGCAACACAGGGAAATTATTATTGTCAGAATAATAATGGTTTAGCATAATTTATTACAGGTCCACCAAATAAGCAAAGGCTAGATGTTATTAGACAGATGGATGGGTAGGCTTGGCAGGCCTCCGCCGAGACGCAGGCGGCGCTTGATGTGGAAAGGAGAACATCCTCCAACCCAATCAGAGAGCTGGCAGTTCAATTACAAAGAAATAAAGGGACATTCATCATTCAATTAGGCACCTGTCAGGCCTCACAAAGGAGGAAACTTCTAACCTGGTACTCCTGGGAGAAGATACTCAGCAGAGTGGCCTGCGATTGACTGGAACAAATAAAAGAAGGACAAAGTTAATTACTGGAGTGCACAGCAGAGAAACAAAAGAGAAAGCAGCTTCAAAGGTAGGCCTGCTGCCCTGTAATCTAACAGAACACGAAAACAAGTGTGGAAAAGTTGTTCCAGATGAACACCTCAAACAAAGGCTTCCTGCTGCTAGGTCAAGGGGAAAGAAAAAGGGAAAGGGTAAATGTGAATGTTCTCAAGGCAGGTATCACATTATTTGGGTCTTTTTTATATTTTGAAATAAGTGAAAATCATATCTGTGGTATGCAATGGTGCTAAAAGGGACTATGGTAAAATAAGGTCTATTTCCATAAATAAATGATAGAGTTCAGTCTCATAAGTAGCAGAGAACATGCAGTTCACTCATGGACAACATCCTGCAATTTATTTTGTTAGCAGACAGGTATCTTCTTATGTAGCTATCACAGGTTCAGGGGGAAAACTTTGCCTTTTCCTAGAAGTCACATAGAAACCACTGGAATATTCCCACTGACATCAGTGTACTTTGAAAACAGAAGCTTTCCCAGCAGGAAGCAGAGGTCCTTGGAGTGCATCATTCCCGAGGACTGCTATAAGCATTATTCATCTAAGGCTATGCATTGTCAAACGCTTGGCAATGAAGCAACCAGGAAAACATTCTTCTCAATTGGGAATTTTTCTCTTGCAATTGTGAACACTTAGAAATGGGATGGAATTTTTCTTTCTTCTAAAAAGCAATCAATGCTCTACTGCTATTCTTTTTGAATGCCCTCTTTGACTGACCTCATCATATTTTGAAAAATGATTATTTCTAGTATATTTCACTATTAAATTCTAAGAGATTGTACTTTAAATCATTTGACTTTAATAGTATGCTAAAGTGTGAAATAATTAAAATTTTTCTACTTATGAATGAACTCTCAGGTACTTAAGTACCTCACAGAAAATTTTTAAAATGCAAAATAAAAATGACACTATATTTGTTCACTTATGGTCCCAGTACTGCATCTTCTGGATACCATCATAGGTTTGTCTACTTACCTTCTCCATCCACACCAAATTACATAAATAGGTAAATAAAAAATATCATACATGTTTTCTAAGGAAAGCCCATACATAGTTATAGAACAATTTCAAGAAGTCAAAAGTAATGAGAGATGATTGAATACAATTATAAATTCATTAGTCTGATTTTTTTTTCAGTTTTCCCTTTATACTGGAAACTACCCTGGAAAAGCCAATTTTATATATAAAATCTTCCTATTATGCTTGGTTTGTCTCAACACACAAATCACATCTACTGATAGGGCTCTGACAACAAGTTTCTGGGGAAAAAATGGCAAAATGAAGTCCAGATCTTTGAAAACTGCTTAACTAAAATGTTAGGAATTAATGTGCAATACATAGATCCCACCTCGCTGTACAGCAAAATACACACGCTATTAACCATTTAACGGCACACAGAATCTCAGTTTCTAGATTTTGAAAGACATGATGGTAAATAAAACAAAATGTAATTGTAGGTACTCAGAATGGGAAGATTTGAGAGACAACTGGAAGATAAACAGTTAAGGTAAGAGTTAAGAGTACAGTATAAATTGAAGATGAGATAGGAGAGTGCTTTTAACTAGAAAAACAAAGTGTCTTTAAACTGTGTAGAAGTCAATTCAGCTAAACAACATGGGCGCAGCCAACGCAGCAACCCACTTCCTCTGTGGCCAGCAGGGTTAGAGACAAGATTCCAGCTTACAACAGGAGTAAATCTGACTGGAGCTAAAATCAGAAAACAATTTATGTGTGTACCAACAAAAAACATACCTGGGTCCAAAATGTAGAGAGAGCTAAGTGGCTTTGTTAGGGAGAATGAAAGCTCACAACTCATTCCCGTATATGCTAACCACACAGAACAGAGTTCTGAACAAGTGCCTCTTCAATAAAGAGCAAGACAGTAATTTTGGTACCACTAAGACGCTGACCCCAGTGTGCATTTTTCACATTTTCTTCCAGTGTGTTAATGCTGAGAAAGTGTGCCAGGGAAGACTGGACAGGGAAGAAGGGAAACACAGGGTCACAGGATCTCAACTCGACACCTCTAAACAGCTCATCACTGCCAACTTCACCTCCCACACTACTGTCCTTATTTTAAAGATGGGTAAACGAAGAGAAGTTAAGGAAAGCATAGAGTTAAACACTTAGGTAAGTGGTAGAGCAGAAAACCAAAATCCAGATTCAATTCCAGAACCTAACCCCTCTATCCCCATGGAAATCTGCTTTCCTCTCAGTCCCAGAAATCAGTTCTGCAAGTGCCATATGCTAATAGTCCAGCTTAAGCATTTATACAATGTCACATTACACTCCAAGCAACTCTGAACGATGAAGTGTGTTGCTTTTTTGATAGAAAATTGAAGCCACAGGAAGTCAAGTGACTAAATCCCATCACTTCAGAAAATATTCCTTTCCTAAAAATTTAAATTGCAGCTTTCCTTTAATTAGTGACATAAAAACACTCTTGTTTTTGTGTTAAAAGATAAAGGAGCTATGGATTACAGAAAACAGCCAAGAATTAAAAGATTGTTGGGTCATTTGTTATTCTCCTTGCAACTAAGCCCTATTTTCACTGCCACCATTGCTACAAGCATCTCTGACTGTGTCTTTCAATCAAATGCAATGTACTTATATAAAACAGCTTTGAAGTCTTCCTTAAACATGCTAAATACAAATAACCTGATCTTTACACTCTCTCTAAAGGTGGTAACTTAATGAAACAATATTTCATGAATAGTTTCTGGCAGTAAGCAGGTAATAGCAAGCAGATGATCTAGGTTGCTGGGGGTCCCGCTGGGTCCTTGCCAGCATCTAGGGGTTGACACTGATCCTGACTTCTGGGATACAACAGATGGCACAGTAGCGAACAGCAGATTAACAGACTCTCAGATTTGGTGTCCAGGTGACGGAATATAGCAACTTGAAGAAGAGAAAAAGGAGGGAAGCAGGTCCCTGGGACTCAACAAGGATCTGAAGCGAGGACTGAAACTCATAGGGAGCATAAAGAGACAGACTTTACAGAAAAAGGAGATGGTAAGCCATGCTCTTCCCCTGAGCCCAGACCTACTGTGTGCAAGAAGCAGCTTGAACCTGCAGACACACAGTGACTACTGAAGTCCTCAGAGGCCTCCATGAGGGTACCCTTGAAAAGGAGCAGTACATGGAAAGGACTGCGGTGGTGGAGAGTTATTCAGGTTCGACATTTCTCAGGAGGGGTCACTGGCTGGTAGCCATCTTGGAGTGGGGTCAACTAAGCTCAGAACTCAGAGCTGCTATGGTGTGACTTCATCTATGGGCTCCCAATGTCAGGGCGAGGTGGAAACAAGTTCCAGAGGACAGGAAGTCAAGGAATCGAGTTCAAGCTGGCAGGAGGATGTACAACCCAAAGCTCCAGCCTCACAGGCAGAAATCAGCCTGAACCTCAGTAGGATTATTCACCGCCCCACCATAAATCTACAGCTAGCTTGCTGGGATTAATCAACACAGATCTGGGCTCTGTCTGCCCATTCTATCAGTGACAGCAGAGACACGCCCTGGTGGGGACTTTGCTTTTCCTTTTTTCTTGATTGTTCTTGTTTTTATACGAGTCTGAACACTGCTGCTTGTCTTCATTTTATTGTTCTGTGCTGTTCTTATTTTTATGGCTTCCTCCTTTTCTTTTTCTCCTATTTTTTTCACCTGTTTCTCCAAGTTCTTGTAACCTTCCTTTGTCCTCCAGTCTAGCTTCTAATCTGTTGCTCTTCTTCTAGTGCTCTACTTTTTCCTCCAGTGCCTTTTAAATTTTCTTCCCTGAGGGTAAAATCATCATACTGAGGCCATACTTACTATATACAATTTTCTGGTTTCTTTTAGATTTTGTTAGATAACTACAAATATAGTTCATACTGTTAAAGGTGGCAAATTAACAGTTACCACAGTCTGTCATCTACTAGGCTGTGTTTGGTACTACTGTTATCGCTGATTGTACTGCTCTCCCCAAGGTGACGTAACTGTTCTCATCTGTTGTTCTTCCTGGGATGCCAACACTCAGATGGCCTACAGGTCATATACAATTTAATAGCCCAGTGCCGAAGAACCAGGGTTTAGGCCAGGAACTTCTAATCCCCAATGAATTGAAGAGGTAAGATCTTGCAATAGTTTTGAAACCCAAAAGCCAGGTACACCTGGAAGACATCTCTGAGAAGTAGTCATTTCCTTATAAGGGGTCTAAATGCCAGCAATAAAGCTACCTGCCATAAGCAATTTCTAAGCATCAACACAGGAATTAAACAAATAAATAAACATCAAAATAAAAGGAAAAGAAAACAAAAATTAGAAGACACTTAAGCAAGATGTAACCCTAGACTTGCAGCTCACTAAAGGCAAACTCCAGGGCAATGAGGTAGAACAAGCGAAAAGCCACCACCGGGATTCTCTGAGGTGGTAACAGTGGAGGTAACAAAACAGGGAAATGAGGCTCTAGAAAACATCAAGTCAGAAATACTTTCTCAGATAACTACAGCGCTGGTGGCCATAATGAAAGGCCTGGTTCATGACTCTAGAGCAGATAAAGATGAAAGTTTCTGAGTAATAAAATACCGTATAGTCTGTGTACAATCTGGATGACCACACTCAGCATTCATTCTGACCTATAACCCTCCTGTGTTTTCATTCTGTGTCAGATAAATACAAAAATGTGTGTATGTCTGTTATTTACATACACACTAATAAACACGTAAAAATTGTGGCTGGTTTAAAAATATATTTTTGTAACATGTCTTCCTCATATAATGTACTAATATTTATCAATGCCATTATATTTATTTTCAGATTAACAGTATTATAAATAAATTACAAGAATATCCCCACATGGAACAAATGTATAGTACAACACATTAGTATTTTTAAAAAACAAAATAAACTATTCTGGGCCAAGAAACAGAATATTGCCAGTATCCCCCAAAAGATACTCTACCTAA